CCATCTAACATTAGCTATAATATCCCTAGTATCATGATATCTTCTAAACTCAGACTGCACACTTGGCAGTTCCCTGCTGATGTGCTGTTCCAGTCATTTTTGGATAATTTTCAGAATCTTGTTTGCATGTGTATCAATGATATTTTTCAACAATTTCCACACTCTGTAAGGTCACCTTTCTTTGGAATGGGAACAAATACTTACCTCTTCCAGTCAAGTGTCCTGGTGGCTGTCCTCCAGATTTCTTGGCATAACTTGGTGAGCACATCCAGGGGAACGTCTGTTTGCTGAAGTGTGTCAATTAGAATGTCATCAATTCATGGGCCCTCGTTTTTTCTGTATGTTCCTTCAGAGCAGCTTGAACTTTTTTCTTCATCACCACAGGCTCTTGCTCATATGTTGTTTCATGAAATTCTTCTGTGTCCACCAATTTCTTTTGGTATAGTGACTCTGTATACTTTTCTTATCTTCTTTTAATGCTTCTTAGATCATTTCATATTCTGCTGTAAGCATCCTTAAGTATTCCAACTCAAACCTTGAATTTGTTCTTCAGTCCCTTCAGCTTAAGAAATTCTGAGTGAGTTTGGTCCTTTTGATTTTTCAGACTCCAACTATTTGCATATTTTATTATAATACTTTGTCTTCCCACACTGCCCGTTGAACTCTTCTGTTTAGCTTCTTGATATCTTGATTTCTTCCCTTTGCTTTGGCTTCTTGGTGCTCTAGTGCAATATTCAGAGTCTCATCTGACATTTTATCTTGGTCATTTCTTTCTTCTCTATCTTTGTAATGCCCTTTAGCATTCTTCATGGATTTTCTTCATGGACATTCTTGATATCCACCCACAGCTCATCTGGTCTTCACTCATTAGTGTTCAAGGCATCAAACCTGTTCCTGATATGTTTTTGAAATTCAAGTGGGATATACTCAAGGTCAAATTTTGGTTTCTGTGGATTTGATTTAACCTTCTTTAGCTTTAGCTTGAATTTGCATACGAGTAGTTGGCGGTCTGTTCCACTCCCAAAACCTGGCCAAGTTTTCACAGCTGATATTGAGCTTCTCCAGTGATTGTTTCCACAGATGCAATAAATCTGATTCCTTTGTTGGTCAGATAAAATCTAAGTACACAGATTTATTTCAAACTCATTGTCTCTGATTTGGCTTGGCTTGGCTTTATAAAGTTAAAAACAAGGTTGAGTAAACTGATTTCATAATGGCACTTGAAAATATCTAAGCAAGTCAGTTCACTTGTGGAAATTAAATGGAAGGTCAGACAAATACACTTTTCTGCACTTTCCTTCCCTTGAGCCCCAGAGAAAAGGTCCTCTCCTGAGAACAATTATAAAGGACAGCTTGCGGAAGTTCAGCATGTTGTTTCCCGTGTGGGTCAAACATAAGTCAGGGCTTGTGCTTTTAATGAACTTTATTTATATTGATTTATATTGATTTAAATGGATAATTTCTTGTTAGTCCTGATCACTTAAATATTATACAACTTCTGAAAAATATATATTTTGATCCTATGTAAACTCAATTTAAATTGTGACCTTTTGTTCAACTATCTCAGAGACAAAGCACAATTCTCTTCTCACCTGCTTTTTCCAAATTGATGCTATATTGGTGAATTCATAATAACAAATCATTTAGAAATAATTTAATAAAGAATACTACACCTTAAGGAAAATAGTTGTGATTTTACTAATGATTCCAATGTTAACAGGATTATTTCACAGTTAGAAAGCACATTTTAGCAGTTCTGATATAAAACAAGCATTGAAAGTGTTAGGTTAGGTGAGGTTAGTGGACTTAAAGAAGAAATCAGAGAGAACGAGAGAAAGCTTAATGCAGCTTAATTAAAGGGGGGAAAGGAGAGCCCCGGGTGAGTTCCTCATCCTGGAGAGGCGGAATGGGAAGTCACACCTTGAACCTACTGGGGAGGATCTTTATAAACAGAGTCTTTAGGGAGGGACATTCCACTCTGATTTAGGAGCCACCTGCTAGCTCAGCCAGACATGCAAGACCATTTGTTCTTCTTATCAGCAGGAGAAAAGGTCATTAGCATTTGAGTTCTGAATTCTTTTTTATTCTCTTTGGCCCCTTTTGCCCAGACTAACAGAAAGTATCAATGGGTTGTATAATATGAAGGGGGAAAAATGGTCTTAGAATATATACATTGCTGGGAGACTGTGGAGCATTTGAGAAACAACTCAATAGCGGAATTACATTATCTAGAAATACAATTATTTATATTTAGTGCTGAGAATCAGAATTAGTGAGACTGGCTCAGGTCAGGGCAGAATTCAGAGCTGCTATACATAGGGTCACTATGGGTCACTGGCAACTTGACGGCACATAACAACAACTGAGAATATCAATCAAAGTTCCCAAATGTGACAATTTCTTAATTAAATGGGCATTATAATTTCATTTCCTCTTATATTTGAACATTAGAACTGCAAATGCTAAAAACCAGAACTACTAATATGTTTTTAAATAACCAGATGGCTTTTATTGTAAATTGAAGATAAAACATAAAATTAAAATCTTTCTAGATAAAGGCTAGCTTATGTTACAGTAACGTATATGATGTGAATTTATAAGACCATGATCATTATTATTAATTATTTATGAAAACTGAGAAAGTGTTCATCATCATCATGACTTTAAAGATCAGAAATGAAAGAATTCCTGTGGTGTCAAGCAATCTGGACAAGGCTGTCTCCCAAGTCTATGATCAGGGGAGGAAACTGCCTGTTGTCACAGTTAATCAGCTGGTTACTCTCTGGGGAACATTTTTTTTTTTAATTGTATCTTCCAGCAATTTAAAATATCAAGAAAGTGTAAATGTCTACTATTAATTCAGCTGTAAAAATGAATAGCAAATGTTCTCTTTCTTTGGATGGGTAGATTAAAATGTTGGGCTAGGAAACTATGAGACAAAAACTTCTCCATTGAAAATAAAAGTGTAATTAACAATTTAAAATGTGGATCTGTATTTTATTGCTTGCAGAAAATGAAGAGGACTTGAAACACTTGCTACAGATGATTAAAGATTACAGTCTTCCATATAGGTTATATCTCAATATCATGAAAACAAACATGGTCATCACTGGAACAGTAGGCATCACCATGACAGGTGGAGAGAAGATTGAAATTGTCAATGATTTAATTTTACTTGGGTCCACAAACCATATCACAGTAACAGCCATAAAAAAACTATGCAACACTCAGGAGCAATGCTTTTGTAAATTATAACCTAACTTTGGAGCAACTGTACAGGATTATGCTGAGTGAACTAACTCAGTCTCACAAGGATAAATATTGTATAAAACCATTATTGTAGAATGAGTATAAGGACCAAGGGGGGGGGGGATGGTGGAAGCAGAGCAGTGAGGATGTGCAGGAGGAGGAGGGAATTAATCATGGAGTTGTACAATTTTTTTTTTGAGTTGTACAATTTGATGGGTAGAAGGATGAGGGAAATTGGAAGAATCTGTTCTCAAAAACAGTGTATTCAAATTTTGTCAATAAACTTGTATTAAAAACCAGTAAATTAAAATATATATTGCATTAGGAACATCTGCTGTTCAAGAATTTATCTTAGTATTCTATGACAATGCTAAATTTAAAAAACTAAGATGTTCCTGTTCCAAGCCATAGTCTTTTAAAATCTTCCCAGGCATCTGAAAATTAAACAATGAATAAGGGTCATGGGAGATTCGATTCCTCTGAATTGTAATGTTGGAAAAGATCACTGGATATTTCATATACTATCAAAAGAACAAACAAGTCTGTCTTGAAGGAAGTGCACCAGAGGTGATTTAGAGGCAAGGATGAGGAAACGTCTCACGTCCCTTTGTCATGTTGGGCATGTTGTCAGGAGGAGTTAGTTTCTGGAGAAAAGTCTTCACACTGAGAAAGGTGGAGGACCAAGAAGGTGGGTTGAAACAGTGGCTATCACAATAGTCTTGAACATGTGAGAGATGAGGAGGACGGTGCAAGAAAGGGCAAGGCTCAGGTCTGCTGTTCATAGGCTTGCTATGAGTCACAGTGGATCTGATGGTACCTAACTGCAACATTAACAATTGCATAATAGATCGCAGTACATCTATTAGCACTATTGTTTGTTGTTGTTATGTACTGACCCAAAGCTGACGCTCTGGCAAGTTTTCAGAGACAGTAAATTGTACAGGAGGTGATTGCTCATCTTTTCCTCGTGGAGCAGCTGGTGGCCTTGAACCTTGTTCCTTGGAGACTGCAATGCAGCTTCTTGCCACTAGGCCATATTATAAGTGCATCTTCTCAGAATGAAAGAAAATTGTATAAGTCCTTATACAATTTTCATTTTTTGTTTAAATGAGAAATATCATTTTCAAATTCTTTACATGACAAGTATTTTAAAACTCTTAAAAATATTATAAGCCACAGTGGCTGAGTGGTAAGTGGTTGCACTGCCAACCACAAGGCAGTGGTTCAAATCCACCAACAGCTCTGTGGAGAAAGATGAGCAATGCTCATGTGATTTACAGCCTCTGAAAACCTGCTGGAGGGTCAGCTATGAACCCTCTCTGACTCGATAGTTAAGAACAACAAATGAAGGGGAGCTCTGGTGGCCTAGTGGCAAGAAGCTGCACTGTAATCCCAGAGGCGACCCGTTCGAATCCACCAGACGCTCTGCCTGTACCAGTCAGATCTGATTTGACGGTACACACAAATAATAATAATAATAAAAAAAGAACAACAAATGATATGGTGAACAATAGTGTATTCCATAGTATAAAATGTTGCTGACTAATTCCATGTTTGAGTAAAATAAGTAAATTAGCAATGAGAAGCTTGGCAAATGGAAATGCGTATCAAGGGAAGAGATCTAATTGTGATATGAAAACCGTGTTGATAAGCATAAGTAAGCAGCATTTTATTTTCAAGTAAAATTAATTTATCTGGGACACTTTTAAACTAGAAAAATTACCTTTTTGTTATTTAATCTTTAAATAAACTTAATGTGCTTAATTTCGAGATCCAAGAGCAACTTGCAACTTATGGTGAAAAGCACTGATCCGTTCTTTTTGAACAGGCCAGTTCAAGATGCAGCGAGATTTGAACATTCCTCTTCGCAAACAGAGTGCGTGGTTCAGTTTATAATCTGGAATCTCCTCCAGAAAGATCAAAATAATGGAATCCAGATTTTGTTCAATAGCTTGCTGAACTGCATGATGTACTTTGAATCTAAATGTAAAAAAAAAAAATATTAGATTAAGATCTGGAATCGATATATAATTTTTAAGTCTAAATGCTTTTGAAACTTACTACGATTTGTCATTTAGGATTTTTTCTTCATTATAGTTTAATGACCTTTAGTTTTTAATTAATAACCTAGTATTATTATATCCCTATTAGCATAATGTAATAATACTAGTACTAGTTGAAATGTTCATTTTAAAACAAATATATATTTAAAAATCTCACAATGATCACCTACCTTTTGCATAATGGGTCTTTTAGTAGGTGCTGTGTTATAACAAAAATAATTTTTCTGCTTCTTTGAATGCTGTTGACAATTGCTTCAAGTTCAAGGACACCTGCCTCAAAATCTCTTTCTTCCAGACAAAATCTGAGGGATTGATCCTCTTCTTCCATTGGGTAGAAGTGTTGCCAGACCCAGTCTCTATCCTTATGGGCGTGAATTACATATGCTGCATATTCAAACTGCTCTGGCTGTCTGTCTACCTCTTTGAAACCAAGAATTCGGTGTACTGAGACATTCCAATAAAACGATATCCTCCAGCCTTCAAAATGAATGAGCAGCACCATGAAGATAAAAGTCAATAGCATGGTGGTATTTATTATGAACAGGAGTTGAAAAGGGGCACTGTCTTTGCAGGCTGATGTATCAAAAACTGTCACTGGTAAACCATGATATTGAGGTGGAGTGTTGCAAAGATAGTGATCTCGTAACCCAGATATGGTGGCATTAGTCCCATTAATCCAATTAACAAACCAGGAAATACTCTCACACGTACAATCAAATGGATTAAAACTCATATCCAAATTAGTCAGGTTCTTGAAGGGTGGTCCAAAAACATCCTTCTCAACTGATGTTATAAGATTCTTCTGAAGGTTCAACGACTTCAGAGAGATCTGATTGTCAAAGATAGATGGTGGAAGTATGTTTAAATTATTTAGTCCTAAATAAATTCTCTTTAATTCAGACAAGTCCTTGAAAACCTCCACTGGGATCTCATCAAGGCCATTAGACTCTAGGTTGAGTATGTGGAGGTGAGAAAGACCTTTCAAGAAATAAACAGGACCCCCGGGGTTTGCGTGCTTCCAGAGTCTTGCTAGGTTGTTGTGCTGCAAATCCAGAATTTCTAGTTTGTGAAGTCCCTCCAACAGGTCATCATTTACATTGGCTATATTGTTGTTACTGAGATCCAGAATGGTCAAGTTATGAAGAGGGTGGAAAGGAGAGGGAGAGATATCCACATTTTTACAGGCTACCCTTCTGAGCATCAGCCTTTGGAGGCTTGGAACCAATGAGAAGGAGTTACTTGTCAGTTGTAGGTATTTGTTATAGGAAAGGTAGATTTCAACAATATTTTCTAGACCTTTCCACTCCTGGCCTGTTAATTCCTGCCCTATTTCATTAAGGCCAAGGTCAAGTACTTCTAGGTGGCCCAACCAAGAAAAGGAACCATTCTCTATTTTTGAAATTTTATTTCTGGTAAGGTTAAGTAAGAGTAAAGGTGAGTGAGCAAGTGATAAAAATGTTTCATTTGTTAAAGTTCGCAAACTTGCAAAGGCATTAGAAAGATTTAATTGTTTCAGACTTATCAGTCCCGTGAACATATTGCTTTTTATTCCTGAAAAGTCATTATCTTCCATGTTAAGATACTCCAAACATTTTAGCCACTGGAAGGAAAAATCATCAATTTTGGGAAATGAAGCAAGGGAAGGTCTTTGCTTAGCAAAAGATCGTCTTAAATTCAGGTATTTTACATTGAACAACCCATAAAAGGAATGGGAAGACAAATTCTCTATATTGTTATACTCTAGGTTGAGATATTCCAAATGTGGAAGAAAGGCAAAGGAATCATTGGCGATGGTATTCAAACCATTATAGGAAAGATCAAGCATGGTGAGATTTGTGTGCTTTAATCCAAAAAATGTCCTGTTGCTGGTTCTGTAGAGCTGGGCGTTGCTCAGGGAGAGTCTCTGAAGACTTGTGTTTGATAACTCCAAACAAAGATTCTCCACGAGACTGGCGCCCAGCTGGGCATTGTTCAGAAAGAGGCCAAATAATTTTCCGATTGCGTGAAAACACCCTGGAGAGAACTAAAGGGTAAAAAATAAAAAAGAGGAGAGAGATGGAAATAGATGTTAATAATAAAAAAATTATGAGATGTAAATAAAAATAACTATGAGATATCATCTCACCCCAATAAGAATAGCAAAACTTAACAGAACAGCAAACATCAAATACTGGTGAGATTACAGAGAAACTAGAACCCTTACTCACTGTTGGTGGGAATGTAAAATGGTGCAACCACTATGGAAGGCTGTATGGCACTTTCTCAAAAAGTTGGAAACAGAAATACCATTTGACCCAGCAATTGCACTACTGAGAATTTACCCTAAAGAAACTCTAACTGTCACCCAAGCAGATATATGTACACCCATGTTTATTGTGGCTTTGTTTGCAATAGCAAAGAGCTGCAAACAAGTGACCAACAACAAACAAATGGATAGAGATGCTCTGGTATATGCATATAATGAAGTACTATGCAGCATTGAAAAATAAGGAATTAATGAAATAACGTTCAAAATAGATGACCCTGGAGGACATTATGCTGAATGAAATATCTCAGTCACAAAAGAACAAATATTGCAAACGGCCACTGTGGTAAAAGAGGACTGACATCAGGACTGAGGGAAGACAGAAGGAGGGGAGGAATGATGTATACTGCATTGAAACAGATGAGGGAGAAAACTGTTTGAAAGAGTTATATAAATGGGTATTATTTTCATGACTGAAGTCCAGAATGAAGGCTGCACAGTTGAGTGGACTTGGGGGAAGGGATTGCATAACAATAAAAGAGTTTTTCTTTTTCTTTTCGAGGAGAAGGGGGAATTGGAGGGTTGCTTGGGGGTGGAAGGGAGAAAAGTGCAACAATGAATGACTGGAAACCCTAAGTCTCTGTAAACTTTCATTAAAATAAATTTTTAAAAGTTATGAATAATTCACACAAAGTGTAAATAAAATTCTCTCCCACATTATCTGGGTGTACTGCATATCTCACCATTCCTTTAATGCACACCACCTTCTTAACACTGAGATACCTCCTCCAAGCCTGTATCTTTTCCAGGCACAGGCTAGTTTATACTCTATTCACTTTTAAGCTTCCAGATCACTTCATTGGAGGTGTTTTCTTGACCTACTAGTGTTAAAAGACTCCTGGTGTGTTTTTTTTTATTCTTCATGTTTGACATGGTTATAATTAAACAACAATTTAAGGAATCATCATGGGGGAAAGATAATGTTTCTGTCCTGGTCACCATAGGTCCTAGTGAACATTATGGAAAGAATAGATAAGTAAGTTTTATTACAAAACCGTACACTTTCCCTTTGATAATTCTTTGAGGTTCCTGCTATCATTTTGTTCTTCTAGGAGATTTTCTCTTGAGTTATTTCATTAGAGTCTTTAGAGTATTTCTCTGCTCAGCCCCAACTTTGTTATCAGAAGTTTTGTGTAAGAACAAAGAAATAGAAGGCAGGAGATGAAATCAAGAGAGGAGAGGAAGAAATAACCAGTGTCTGGGAATAAAATTAATCAGAGAGCATGGAGGCTTTGATTTATAATGTGCCATTTGTCAGCTATTAGAGCTAACGGAAGAAATGTTGAAAAATTTGTTTTAATTATAAGAAAAAAAAATGAAATAACATGTGGAACAGGAAGTTAATAACTTACGGTAATTATGTATGACAGACTGGTCTGTGACTACCAAAATTAAGATGTTGAATAACTCTTTTATTATTATTATTATTATTAAATTTTATTAGTTTTAATGAACATTTACAGAGATTTTGGGTTTTCATTCATTCATTGTTGCACTGTTTTCTCCACCCTCCTCCCCAGTTTGTTCTTCTTCCCCCCCCATGTCTGTTTTAATTGTCCAATTAACGATACAAAAGATGTTCATGATATCATAGTAATTTGAAAATGCAGGATGCTCTATTATCCTCAGAGAGGCTCTGTCTCACGTTGCCAGAATTCCACTTCTGCCACCACGTGGCCAGCTGTGAGTGCTGGGATATAACACCTAATTCTTCTTTGTTTCAATTTACTTTTATGTGGACAGCAACAAGAATAAAAAGATTGTAAATAAAACATTAAAAACAACTTTGGACAGTGCTTAGTATTTAATGAAGGTGGTTCATAAATGTTAACGGCTGTATATTCATTGTTCTTACTGTTATTTGGATCATCTGTTCTGACAGGTTGAAAAGGTATGGAGACAGAAAACATCCCTGGCAGACACCCTTCGCAATTTTCAACCATGCAGTGGCTGCTTCCTTTGTTCTGATGACTGCCTCTTTTGCATAAGTACAAACAAATGTTCTGGGATTCCCATTCTTCTCAGAATCAGCCACAGTTCGTTGTGATCCACAGTCAAAGCCTTTGCATAATCAATGAAGCACCAATAGACATTCCTCTGGTACTCTCTGCTTTCTGCCAAGATCTATCTAACATTATTTATAATATTTTTGTACCATGACCTCTTTTAAACCATGCCTGCACATCTGGCAGTTCTCTGTTGATGTGTTGCTCCAGTCATTTTTGGATAATTTTCAGAAGAAACTTGCTTGCATGTAATATTAATGATATTGTTCAATAATTTCCACTGTCTGTCAGGTAACTCTTCTTTGGAATGGGAAAAAATGTCGATCCCTTCCAGTCAGTTAACCGGGTGGCTGTGCTCCAGATTTCTTGGCACAACTTAGTGAGCACATCCAGGCAGCATCTGTTTGTTGAAACATGTCAGGTGGTATGCTGTCAACTTCTGGATCCTTGTTTGTTTGCCAGTTCTTTCAGAGCAGCTTGAACTTCCTCCTTCATCACAATAGGCTGTTGCTCATACATTGTTTCCTGAAATTCTTCTGTGTCAGCCAATTCCTTCTGGTACAATGACTCTGTATACTCCTTCCATCTTCTTTTAATGCTTCTTGAATTTAACATTCTACCCAAAGCATCCTTAAGTATTGCCATTTGTGGCTTGAATTTGTTATTCAATTCCTTCAGCTTAAGAAATGCTGAGTGGGTTCAGCCCTTTTGATTTTATGACTCCAGTTCTTTGCACATTTCATTATAATACCTTGCTTTGTCATCCCAAGCTGTTCTTTGCAGTTTTCTGTTCAGCTCCCTAATTTCGTGATTTTTTTCTGTAGCTTTAGCTTCTCAGTGCTCTAATACAACATTCAGAGTCTCATCCATTTTCGTCTTTTCTTCCTCCTCTGCCTTTGAAATTATCTTTTGCATTCTTCATGGATAATATTCTTGATATCTTCCCACAACTAATTTGGTCTTCATTCACTAGTGTTCAAGGGGAAATGGGCTGTACAAGGAGGAATGTGGTATCAAGATTGGAGGAAGAT